CCTTCTCATTTACTAACCTATTGTTGACCTGTTTTCCTTTACCCTTGGCGACTGTTTTGACCAGCATTTTGGATTTCAAAATTGGTCACTCAAATCTACCCCCAAACTAAATTTTCAAACCGACAATTCAACACTAAAGTGCTCTTGCTCCTAACCACAATCACTCCTAAATGCACAGCAAAGTTTTAAAAATTGCACATATACCCCCAAATTCATTACTCTTCAAAACTCAATCAAACACTTCTAAATCGAAAACCCAACTTCTTCAACACAACACAAATCAAACTCCACACTTCTTAAATCAAAATCAATCCACAAACTTCACCAAAATTCAAAACTCAACACATTTAATCAATGTCTCAAATTTAAAGCACTAACAATTGAAACTGATGAAATTTAAGGCTGGAGAACTCGAAATCTTACCAATCCCACGATGAATGCACCACCAATCATACCAATTTCGGCCCAAATTTCAAGATCTCCAATTGTGGGAAAACCTAGGGTTTCCAAAATTTTATTTGAAATTTCACAAAAATCGTTGACAAAATGAGTCGATTTTGTGTTTGTGAAGGTTAAGGAGTGGAGTAGAGGGACAGAAATTCACTAGAGAGTCTCTAGATTGAAGGGGGGAGAGTTTGGCTCTTGGGTGTGTTTCGAAACTTTTCACAAAAAATGAAAAGTAACTCGAGTAGAAAACAGACTTCACCACGTCGAAGTTCTTCATTCAATTGCAAAACCCAGTCGTTGTCACGGTGAATAAAATTTCTCGCCGCGGCGAAATATGGAATTTCCTGAATTCATTTTTGGCTAAGTGTACATCGCCACGACAAAGAATAAACTTCACCACAGCAAAAACTGGGAATTTATGCTTTTTCGTCATAATTTGATCATTCACCTGAAATATCCAAAAACAACCGAAATTAAACTTATTCTAAATCATAAAACAACTAAACAAATTCAAAAACAACAAACAAACAAACTAAAACACTTGGGTTGCCTCCCAAGAAGCGCTTGTTTATAGTCGGAAGCTCGACTTTCTCAAGTCCTTTGTCAATCCAAACTATCCAAATACATCCTCTTTCGCACATTGTCCTTGCACCGAAGCTTCAATTGTTGATGATTTTTGTCACATAGGACCTTTGTTGAGAGCTTAGGCACCCATTTCCATCCTTTGGTCCATCCTTTTATGGTTTGAACATTCTCATCGAAACCTTTCCATTTTCTTGACTTTCCCTCAACCTTTTTGAACCGAGAAATCCCTCCCTTGTGAAGACACATGCTCGATTGTGGCCCATCTTGGAATGGTGCGTAAACTTCTGGGTTACGGTCCTTATCCTTGATTTGCCTGTTGGAGTAGGTGCCCTAGAGCCAATCAATTATTGTGGAATTGACTCTTTGTAATAATGTTCATTAATCAATAAAAGGCATTTTATACTATATCGTGTAAATCATTATTATTACAATATGTATAGATGTATGTCCTTAGAATGGTAGAACCGTGACGAGGGTATCAAGTGTTTCAAATCATGATAGTGAGAACCCTATGAGCACATATGGTGGCCATTCTAGAAACGTCCGTAGCCCTAGTATTATTCTGAAGTAAGGGCACAGATAATACGATAAGGCTATCATAGTGTTGAACGGCTCTTATTTTATAAACTCACTTTCCCATTTTGCCCTTACACTTTTTTAGAAATTCCATCCTTGTCCCTTAGTCAATTACCATAATGCCCTCATTTTTATTGTATTCTTTATGAAATTCTCACTCTTTTCACTCCCCACTTTTTCAACTAATTTTGAGTGAAAAGACCATTTTACCCTTAATGCAAGTTTTAAGGCATTTCTTCATATTCTCTTAAAATAATTCTAACAAAAATTAACTAAGGGCTATAAAACATAATTTAAATCATGTACCTCCCTGTTGGCCATTACAAGATTAAAAACTTTCAAATTCAAATGTTGTCCATAAATCAATCTAAAATAATTGAAAGCAAGTAATGCAAAAGAATTATACCTCTAAACCTGTCCCACTAAATCCTTTAATGTAGCATCTCTTGTAGATGGACGTAGCTTCATTTAACTGTCCCAATTCAATTTCCATAGCTATATAACCTTCCCAGGCTTCCAACATTGACCCGCTGCATAGACAAAGAGCAAGTTATACGGAAAAAATACAAAGATGAATCATAAATCAATCATATTGAACTATATAGGATAAGAAAGAGAAAAAGATGAAAAAGCCAAACCAGATCTTAACCAGGCTCTCCCAAAAGGCTCAAGCTGCAGCTTGATCTTTTCCCAAATTTAGCTCCAAATGAGCCCAATAAGCGTACAAATGCAGCAAACCATATGTATTCTTCATCTGTTGAGATAAGTAATCAGATGCCCGTTGAAAGGAAGAAACTTCACAGTTATGTATTCAAGTATATATAATATACATCAAATCATACAGGGCCTGCAATTTCAATGGTACACTAAAGAGGCATCAGGCTAAGTGGCTAATTGTTTATCAACACAAATATTGAAAACAGCCATTATGCAACAATAATATACCAGTTGAATATGACATGCACATTTTATAAATTCACAGATCCATAAAGATATCTTCCATGCATGCAACTCCAATGCTGAATGAGAAATTTTTTAGGTCATGACCGGGGGCTATCCTCTACCTTGCCACCTTCGGGCTCAAGGGCTTTCCCCGTGTGCCGGACACGTCCAAGGTATTGTCCGCTATAGGTCCTTCTGGCCATGCCTCCTTCGAACCCTCATGGCTTTGCTTTGCTTCGTGGTCTTTTTTCCACCTTGCGAACGCCTCCCCCATGACTTGAACCTTGGACGTATACCTTGGCCAAGTAACATGAGTACCATTACGCCTTTTTATTTTCACCACCGGGGGCTATCCTCTATCTCACCATCTTCGGGCTCAAGGGCTTTCCCCACGCGTCGGACACGTCCAAGGTATTATCTGCTATGTATAGGTCCAAGGTTCAAGTCACGGGGGAGGCGTTCACAAGGTGGAAAAAAGACTACGAAGCAAAGCAAAGCCGTGAGGGTCCGATGGAGGCGTGGCTAGAATGACCCATAGCGGACAATACCTTGGACGTCTCCAACCCACGAGGAAAGCCCTTGAGCCCAAAGGTGGCAAGATAGAGGATATCCTCCGGTCGTGACATTTTAGCAATGGACACTATTCCATGACAAAACAATTAACAAAGGTAACAATCTAGCAATTAGCAAAAGCCATCTTGGAGTATCGAGAGTTAGCACTGTAACTTCTACCTAAAGTGGTCATAATGGTACTATAACAACACACTAAATGAAGTAAATTAAAAGACTTTTCTTCAGAGTCTAAGGGTAGAAGCACTTGATACACATTCGTAAGAGAACTACGCCTAGACCCTTAAAGCGTAGACTAGCTACAAGGTCCACATTTTTGTCATCTAAAATTCACCACATTTTTGTCATCTAAAATTCACCACATTTTTGTCATCTAAAATTCACCATGAATAGAGCATCTACAAATGTCTTTGAGAAGCTTCAAGTCCTTGACATCAAGTAAAAAAAATTTTAACATGGAAAAATGAATAGTATACATATGTGAAACTGAAACGTTTCCCTTATCAATGAAAAATTCAGTGCATCCTCTTCTGCTCCAGGCAAAAGGATTCTTCCTCTCAAACCATCCACTCGAGTGAGCAATAAGTTTAGGTACTTAAAGAAAGAGAATCCAATTAAAAAAGATTTTTAATGCATAAAACATAGATGAAACAATAACAAATTACAAAGAGTAGTAAGTCAAGCCTACAAATTAGAGAAAAGATATCTTCACTTCCTCAATGGTTGAAAAAATGCATAGAAGGGACTTCTCAAAGACCTGAATATGACATATAAATCTTTTTAAACAAGAGTAAACCTCTATATTTGTAAAAGGAGCAGAATGAAATTCCAACACTAAAGTTTGTGAAACTTCCTTGCTCAAGCTACTTATAGCAATCTCTCATAATTCTCAACAAATGAAGGGTAACAACTGAAACTTACAGTAGATATTCTTTCTTAGGTGCACGACAATGTTCCAAAGCAAGCAAAGATCGAACCCAAAGATCACCAACCCAAGGACAATTTTTCCTAGCCTTGGAATGAACATCCCACACAATATTTCCTACCTGAAGGAAAAGGAGATGATTAATTGCTAAAATTACAAATACCTAGAACATAAAGAATTGAAAAGAGAAAAAATGAGTGAAACCTTCAAGGTTTTATCCAAATAGAAAGTATAAACAAGCCAGAGATCACTTGATATAGGAAACTTGGTAATAGCACGTTCATAGAGAAGCTAAACACGGGTTGGATCTCCAGACTTCAAGTAGATCTGCAAAAATTTCAAAATAAAATAATAGTATTAACACTTTAAAGAAGGAAAAAAAAAAGTAACCTATTGCCACATTTCAAGTTCTTCTACAACACCCCACCCTCAGGAAAAGAAGAATAAGAAGAGAAGATCTAAAGTTTACATAAACTGGTTACTTATATTAGAAGCAAGAAAGACCATAAGAAATTCAAATTATAATGAAATTTCAACAACTTTGTTGATAAACAACTTGACCTAAAAGCTCAAGCTTGAAAAGATAAGGGCACAACAATGATATTCAACTTTGTAACAGGCAACTTCACATATTACATAAACCAAGTCCAAATTCAGACAGAAAGACCAACCCAAATATAGCAGGATGTAATAGATGGGAGACTCAAATCATGACCTCTACACTTTAATATCATATTAAGTTACCATTTAACATAAATACTTAAGGTATCACGTAAGAACCCAGCATTATCATTTAGCTGTCTAAAACAATATTTGATAGTAAATGCCATATACCGTGAATTGTTGAAATTTTTTGAAGTCAAATATATCCTGCCTTGCAATCTGTTCTTTAAAATTAGCTCGAGCATTATACATCTCCAATGCCTTTTGGTACGCTAAGACCCATCTAAATCACCTGATTCAATATCTAGAGCAGTCCCCAGTTCCACCTCCCAAGACTTGTAGGCAAGAAGGATTGACCTTAAGTTAGCAAGGGGAACAGACAACTGACGGTGAAATATACTTCGGATATGCTGAACTTGTTTTTCTTTTTCCTGCAAAAGAGCAGTAAGTTTCCAAATGTAAATTTTGAAATGGATACTTTTTCTTGGTACATAGCACTTCATAGGGAAATGAGAGAACATAATTTATGAACTATACATAAATGACAAAAATAAGAAAAAAAGTTTCTAAAATAAACAAGGCATGCAACTTAAGCCATGGCTCTAGGAAATATAAAGGAAGACCCACAAAAGCCTTATTAACCATAATACCAAACCAGTCGGATGGAATAAGACTTTAAATAATCAAGTAAATTGATTAATAGAATGCCTCCCTTTTAGGCACATTTTCTAGAAAGTTTCTAATATATATATTATAAATTCTCACCTTATGCTGATCTCATCTATGCTATGGAGAATGGCTTGCTCAAATTCCCTATATGCTTCCCATATTTTACTGCCTTTAGCAACATACAAACTAGCAACAGTTATAGCATGCTCAAAGAGATTTCTTGCCTTTGCAATATCATCAGGTGAAAATTCACGTACAGATGGATCATATTCTTGCATAAATCTGAAGCAGTCATACCAAAGTGAGACAGACTACATCAGAACAAGTTCTAGTCATTCAATTTTACAGAATTACTTAGATAAAGGAACTCCATAGAACAAAATTAGTGTTTTTATCTCCTAATTCCAAATATATGCAAAATCTGACTGAACGTAGCAAGAACTTAATTTTCCACAAAAGGTAGGGAAAAAGATGACAACATGCAATTAAAACTTCCAAAATGTATTGTCACTTAAAAAAATAGATTTATGTTAGAAACCCAGAACTTCAATCACTCAATACAGATAAACACTTCAATGAACAAAGGATTTCTGAATAATACTGGTATCTTCTATATTGATTTGACTTTGAAAATGGAAATACAAACTTCTCATGGAAAAGTGTAAAGAGATGACGAAAAAGAAATATATGATAGCCTAGAAAATCGAGGAGCTAGAGACCTCCCAACAATTCTCACTAAAACATATTCTGTCTCTTTCCTTTCATCGGCCCAAGTTTATACTAACTAATCACAATATTCTCACCACTATCTCCACGTGCTTAACCTAACAAATTCTCATAGCCTAACCACTAATTACCCCTTTTATCCTTTCTCCTGTATGGTATTGGTGGTGCTCTATCAATTTCCACTCCCCAGAAGTTTGAAAAAGTTTTATCCTATTGCCCAATTTGGTAGAAAAATTTGATGATGCATCAAAAAGGAACCATGTGTCTTTAAACACCATCACAACTGTAAGAATATTGATATCCATTCTGAATTGCAAGGCCTACAATCATCTCTACCATACAAATGAAACTAATGAGCCATTTTGTTATTAATAATTACTTATTGGAAAAATTCAGCCATTCAAAAGTCATAGATCTGGCAAGCTGAATTTTTTTATTAGAAAATTATTTTTAGGAAAATAACTAAAAATACCACAAGTGAGAATTCTTAAGATCACTATGTTTTAATCCATAAATCAATGCATAAAGTAATTCAAAATCCATAATGATAACAAAAACCTACCAGATAATCAGAAACTCTTCTTTCATAAATCTTCTCAATCCCCAGAAATGCCTCAGGTCTGCAAAGTTGAAGCAGAGAATCAGTAAGAAACTACCTTCAGCTAGACAGAGCGATAAAATCTTAAAGTATACTCAAAGCTTTAGTATCAGTCATTTAGAACAAGAAAATATCAAAATCATAAAAATTTAGCTTACCACCTTTTTATTTTTTTGCTTTGGGGGTAACTATGATCAGGAGGTACACTTACTGATTTTCAACATTGAGCTTCATGTTTTGGAGAAACTAATATACTTATATGAAGAGAAATGAGTTTTCTAATAGGGCAAGCAGGCTGTCCATAAAAGCAATGACAAGAGGGAACTCAAAATCTATAAACAAACAAAATATCAGATAGCTGCAAAATATTGAAAACTAACCTCCCAAGTCAACCATCACTACTTCCTAGTTGCAACATACGAAAAAAAATAGAAAGGAAGAAAGCTCAAAACTTCATTTCTTTTACTCAATTAAGCCGACATTGGAGCTAAGGCTCAGTAGATAAAAGTCACATAAACTTGAATTCAATATTGTTTTCACCATTTAAAACCCATAAGATAAACACTTTCTCTTTTCAAATGTATCCATTTAATTTTTGTCTTTATACTTTCCTTCGTTAACCATAAACCCTAAGTGATCAAAATTTGATCATGAAACCAATAACAAGAACACAAAATGAAAAAAACTAGAACATACCTAGTAGAAATAGAAGCTTCATCTCGAGCCCACTCTGGCCACATAACAGGAGTCAATGGAAAAATCTCATTCATAGCGTCTCTTTCTTGTCTCAACTTCTCAATCTCACCCATCTTCCTCAAAACCCTTATGTATTAAAACCACCAACAAAAACAATAAAAAAGCAAAACAATGTTATTATTAAAAACAAAAATCCAAGAACTGGGTATTGAAATTCATATTCAAGTTGATGTAAAAACGTACTTGAACATGGACTTCATAGTTGGAGGGCTCATTGGTAAGCTGGGACACGATGTTTTGAAGCTCAAATTTTTGTTGTGCTTCATCTTCTGAGTCTAAGTCTGAGTTCGAGTCACTTGACTCTCTCGAGTCTAGAAAGTTAAGCTCCATTGCTTCTGGGTTTTCGTTGGTCTCCGCCATAGCCATGTCTGTGTCTTCTTCTTCTCGGGTTTTTGGCGCTAAGGTTTGATTTTTTGGTTCCATTCTTCTGCTTCGTTTGCTCCATGTTTCTCTCAAGTGTATTGAAGAGTTGGGCTTATTGGACTGCTACCCAGAGGTTTGGCATAAATACTATATATATATATATCCTTACAAAGAGGCATACAAAGAAGCATACAAAGAGACAAATCCAGCCCTTAAAAGAAGGGAAAAAGAGAGAGAGAGAGAGAGAGAGAGAGAGAGGCAATTTTAAGGACTGGATTTGTCTCTTTGTATGCCTCTTTGTATGCCTCTTTGTAGGGCTAGTATTACAAAGAGGCATACAAACTCCACGTTATGCTTGTAATAAAAAAAAAAAAAAAAAAAAAAAAAAAAACTATTCCTGTTTTGGGATAATTATAAATAAAAATAAACTCCACGTTATAATAAATTATACTTTTTTTAATTCCCAAAGTTACCTCCACGTAATAATAACTATTTGTACATTGTAAAAAAATATATGTTATGTTACATTAAAGGCTTAAGATGAAATAAAATATTCATCTAAAGTTGTTTGGGATAATGATTTATGCTTTAGAGTTGATATCACATCTTTTAACTTACGGGTTACATTACTCACCAGCATGGAAATATTCTTGTTAAAGCCAAAATATTTCTAGCATCGCAAATATGTTTAGAGTTTCTTGGCACGAAATTTTTTGTATCTTCATACTATCATGCTATGATTATTTCCTTTCTATTCTTGTTGTTCATTTAGATGATTGAGAAAGATATTAATATCCATTCGATTAGTGTAGTGAAGTTATCAAATATAATCACTCAATTCTACTATGACTCTTTGATTCTCCTTCTCCACTTAATTTGTAACTTGCAATTCATCGACATCGAGGGTCCTAATCTCGCAATGTTTAAAACAATTGACAATTGTTTGTGGTTTCACATCAATTGACCATGCAGCAACTAAATTTTCAATTTCATCAAGGACACTTATATTTGTTAGTTTCAAGACATGATTTTTTATCTGTTTCAAAACTAGGCAATCGAAGCGCTGAATTTAAAATCATAAAACTATTAAACATGAATTTAAATCCTGATATTGTACTACTAAAACATGAATTATAAAATAAAAAAATTTTGTAACTACACCTCTATTAAGTAATAACCTCCTTATAGTAATAAAATTAGTTAGTCCCACTATTATGATTATAGAGAAATTTTACACTATATATATAGGCTATTTTCCTTTGGCATAACATAAGGAAAAAAATAGAGAAAACAAGTAAAATAAAATAAGAAAACAAACTAAATTAAGATCTTAAATTTATCAGGAAAATTATCATACGTAGTATCCATTTTGAAAAGAAGAAAAATTATTTTGGTATTGTTGTATTTCTCGGATGTAAAAAAGGCTAACTGTCTATTAAAAATGTCTTTCTAATCCTTTGCACCATCATTAATTGGAACAAAACTCCATTAGCAGTAGAATTGTTAGTTTCCAGACCTCAGAGATGACAGGGTAGTAAACCACAAATTGTCTAATTATTTAAAAAATATATTTATTAATTAGGACTTATTTTTCCTTGACAAATATATAATAACAAAAATAGAAACAAGACAAAAGGTAAATAGATGTTTCTTTTATGTTATAATTATTCATTTGTTTATAGTATTTCATATTTTTTCTTTGAAAGAAAACTCTTTAGTACCAAATCCTTTTTCTAAAAACAAAATGGTACATATCATAAATTCAGATGGAAATATGCATATAATAAGTCTATGGATGATAATCCTCATGCAGTTTACATCATTACATGCGGCATTGTTAGGAAACGATCCATTGAGGCAGCGGAAAACAAAAATTAATAACAACACAGATCGTTCCATAGAACCAAGATCAGGGCACAAATATACAGTTTATATCAAAACAAGAATCTGCAGAAAATTAGTTTAGAGTTTAAGAAATCATACGCACGTTTAGAGGCTCCTCCAACTTTGTCTTTGAATGTATTTTACTACCGACCCAAGTGTAGGATCGAACCGATGTAGTCCACACGAAGATAATCGCAAGGAACTAAAGAGGGATTTGCTAGATCCTCTATAGCCTTAAGAACAAAGAAGAAATGAAGAGTATTTCATTTAAAACCAAAACCCAAATCTGGCATGAGAGAGTTTTTTTGGGTGCTATAGCTTTTCTCTTTTTCTTTGAAAAATGAAATGAATGAATCTCCAATCTCTCAATTAAACTTTTTCTTTTATAGTGCAAGTTTAATTGCCATATTCCCTTATGGAATATGGTTGGGCACCAACCCAAACACCCCTTGTTTCCAAACACTCCCATTTAGATATTTTAATTTTGTTTATAATTATCTCAATTAAAATCAATTAATATATATTAATATTTAACAATAATGATAATTTATTTAAATATATGTGAGCACATATTTAAACGTAATCTCACTTATTTAATTTTTCTAACAAATTAAATAAAGGCTACGACCTCAACAAATTTAATTGCACTGTGAAATTACCAAAGTGCCCTTTCACCTACAAAAGACGAAAACGCCCTTCTTTCTTTCTGGCTCTTAAATTATCTTCTATGTGTGTGACCCATAGGCTCCTCATCTTATCGGTAGTGTGTAGTATCACGATTTACATCAATTAATCGTCTCACTAAACACAGACCAAGATTGGCCCCTAGCAAGGCATCATGGCCACCCGATAGATTCGGATTCAACAAAGTAGCTACCTGTTAATGATATGGTTACCATATAATTCAATCCTTTCATCATCCCTTATCTCGACGAGATCGAGGCATAGAAATAATGTCAACCTTCAGTTACTCTCGATATTGTGTATTCAGTTACTAGACTAATGACCTGTATTATAAACTGGATAGAGCAACAACTCAATCCCATTGTGGCCATAGTCTTAGTGTCATTGCTAGTTATTGAATTACGTCGTGAGATAACTTCTCCCATACCCGGGAGTGATGAATCCTCTGTCTATCCACCATAGTCTTGATACACTCCTTGATGTAGCCAATCACTACCGTATTGACAGCTCTGAATAGAACTAATAATCCGTGGATTATACTGTTTTTATTAGACTTTTTAGTTAGATTTCAGATACTTCTTAGTTCATTTTGACCTGAATTGCTACTTAATTCTTTTTATTTTGTGTTTCAGGCTAAAATGGACATTTTATGCAAATAAGGAGCGAATTGGAGTTTTTGGACTCAGAAGTGAGCGGATCTCAAAAATTGGGAAAGTTCTGAAGCAGAGTGGATGCACTATGAAGCTTGTTTCCATGAGGAGAGTGACGAAGATTGAAGATTCAAGCAAAGAAGCAAGCGGAGGGTAATTCTATAAATTCAGAATTCCACAGGAAGGTTCACCGCGGCGAAGAGAGTTGCGCACAAGGGATTATTCCACTTCTTTGCCGTGGCGAGAATCCTTCTTCTCCGCGGTGAAGTCTGCGAATTCCAAAAACGCACAATTTCATTTTTTAGGCATTTTCCTAGGTTTTTGGGTGAGGTATAAAAGAGAAACTTAGTCATTTAGTAAAGGAGTTCGTTTTTCAGTAGAGAGCAACTATTTTCATTGCCTTAGGTTTAATTTGGGCGAACTTTGATTGGAAAGAGTGGAGATTCGAGATTGAAACGAGTGGATTCGTCATCTTTGGGAGATTTCTTATCCTTTCTCTTATTTTCATTATGTTGAACATTGGGTTTTTCGTTTCTTTTATTTGTGTTGTTGATTTAGCTATGAACTAACCCATTTTGGGTTAGGGTTTTGATGTAATTCGGAATTCCATGGGTTAAGTAATTGATTGTTATTATTTTTCATATGATTTTGCTTTGATTGTGTGATTATTCTGAATTTGTTGTTGTTATGTGATGAACATGATGAGATTGAGAAATAATTCATGTTAAGCTTCTTGGGTAATCACCATTGTAGTATTAAATGCTAGAGATAGATTTAAGAATCAATGAAATCAATCTAGGATTCTAGGTACTTAATGAACTTAGAACTATTAATCTTCAATTTGTTGGATGTGGAAGTTTAATAGGGAAGAGTAAGGAAATATAGCCTGAGAAGGTATATTTTACAGTTTAGAGAATTCGATTTACAATCAATGCATTTGAATATGGAATTAGTATAATCCTTAGGTTTAACCCATTGAGTCCAAATGAAGTCAAAACCTTACCCATTTGTTTGAATTGATTCTATCCTTGTTTTTAATCTTGCTTTCACATTTTAGTTTTAATTTAGCCAATTTTGCTTTAGTTTTAGTTTAAAACTCTCCCATTAATCCAAACAACTCGATTGCTCCAACTTGAAAATAGTAGAAAAATTAGTGCTTAGCAACCAATCCTCATGGGAACGATACTCACTCATCACTTTTATTACTTATGCGACTAGTGCACTTGCTATTTTTGCATGTTGTAGTAAACACGCATCAAGTTTTTGGCGCCGTTACCGGGGATTGAGTTTTGTGTTAACATTAAAATTTTCTTGTGTTAGCTAGATTGGAGTGTTATTTTTACTTGATTGTTTTTGTTTTATTTTTGTTACTTTTGTTTGTTTGGTGTGATTTTACTCTTGTTAGTTTTCTGTGCAGTTTATGCGAAGAGCAAGACATCAGCCAGTTATTCCTGTTGATCCTGAGATTGAAAGAACCACTCGAAGACTGAATAGAGAAAGAAAAGAAAGAGAAGCTACAGTTGAACCAGAAGTAATAGTTGTAGAGATGGCAGAGAATAGAACATTGAGGGAATTATCTGTTCCCTCAGTTAAAGGCAATGAGTCGAGCATTACGAGACCAACGGTCCAAGCCAACACGTTTGAGATAAAACCAACAATCATCCAGATGATCCAGCAGTCAGTTCAGTTCAGGGGTGATTTAAAAGAAGATCCAAATCTACACATTGCCAATTTTTTGGAGATTTGTGATACGTTCAAGTCAAACAGAGTGTCAGATGATGCAAT